GATGTTTTTTAAATAAATTGAGGAAAAAAGATAGCCTTTTATAGAGAATAAATGAAAAAGAGATGATAGAATGTGAATGTCACCATGTTGCACTCTCCAATGAATTAACAGGCAGAGACAGTATGTATATGTGGCTGCTAAGATCATAGAAAGATAACCAGACATCAGCATGCCCTCTGGTGAAAGAGTCTACCATGTAGACTCTCGCCAAAGGGATTCGAACCTGTATCTGATTAAGTTTCTAGATACAGGTGCTAATTTGATTGAAATAAGAGAGGGCAGAAGAACGTGTTGAATGTGAGTTGAACATTGAATATGAAGTCAGCAAAAACAGACTGTGAAAAAGTCCACACACTGTAAGGAAAAGAAGGAAATTAAGAGGGAATCCACAGATAAAAAGACTTAAAATGCATTTTCAGTAAGGTTTTTAGAATACATCTAAAAGGACACCTGGATGGCTCAGTTGGCTAAGCCTACGACTCTTGTTTTCGCTTCAGTTCATGATCTCAGTCATGATCCCATGGTTCCTGAGCTCAAGGGCTCTGCACTGACAGTGCACTGACAAGGGATTCTGTCTCTCTCCCCCTCTCCCCAGCTCGCTCGCTCGCTCTCTGTCTCTCTCTCTCTGTCTTGATAAAATACATCTAAGGATGTATATTTGGGTGATAAAACTATAAAGACACCCAAAATTGTGATAACTATTAAAGTCAGGGTAGTGGCCAGCTTTGGAAGGAGGAAGATGGCTGGGTAGGTCCAGGTAGAGTGCCTGGGATCGAGGCAAAGTTCTATTTTGCAATCAGGGTGGTGGATACAAAGATGTCTGCCTTCTAATAATAATTAAGCTATTCATTTGGTTTGGTTGACTTTTCTAAGTCTGTGTTTTATTATGTGATTTAGAAAGAAAAAAAAATTAAAAACAAAACAAACCTCTTACACAGGAGTTGGCCATTTTTTTTTCCCAAAGGGCCAGATAGAAAGTATTTCAGATTTTCCTGGCCAAGAGGCAACTCGAGAATATTACGTTCGTACTTATAACCATTTAAAATGGGACAATTAAAAAAAAAAAAAAAAAAAAAAAAAAAAAAAAAAAAAAGCCTAAAGACAAACCCAGGCATTACAACACTGAGGGTCCACTAAATCGCTGAATTCTGGATCCCAGGAGGCTCCCATCCCTGGAGTCCCAGGACCTGCGTCCCCATGCCCTTTCCCGGCTCCCGTGGGCGCCGCCCCCCTCCCATCCCCCCACCGCTGGTCCCCTCAACCTCCGCGTCTCTTAGCAACAGGCAGACGCAGCAGTCACTCTCAGATGGACGCAGGCTGAAGAGCATGGGAGCGAGCACGCATGCGCAGGGGGAGCTCCGGGCTCCACCGAGCTGCTCCGGGAGAAAGGGGAGAGCCTAGAAGCACCCAAGCCCTAGGACCCCGCCCCAAGCAAAAGTCTGTGTCCCAACTCTTCCCACAAGTCCTCTCCCACACTCTTGTCGCTCAAAGTATGGTCTGGTAGGCAAGGGGCAGCAACAGCATCACCTAGGAGCCTGCTAGAAAGACAGAATTGCGAGCTTACCCAGACCTACTAAGTCCGTGTCTGCAGTTTTAACAAGATCCCGGTAAATCCCTATGCATATAGACATTTGACAAGCGTTGCTTTCACAATCCAGACAGGGCAAAGCCGTAAACAAATACATCAAACTGGGAATACCTCTTACAGGTTGGACTTTTAACCTCGACACTAAAAGATGGCTTTTATGATGAGGAAGTTCCCAAAGCTGACTTCCCTATGCTCAGTAAGGGTAAAAATTCCCTTGTGTCTCCTCTGACCATCAGTCCAGGACAGAATGCATCACTGACCTCAGGTTCCTGCTCTCAAAGCCAAGGGGGAAATCAGGAGGAACAATTTCCATTCCCAGAGTAAGGGCAGGCGTTGCTTCTCATGAACAAGGTGAAAAGAGAACGCTCAAAGAATGGGTGCCTTGGGCCTGCCAAGATAAGTAAGTCAAACAACACAAGGGCAATCCCAAACCCAGGGAAGGCAGCACCCAAACCCAGGTGAACAGCTCCTAGTAAACAGATTCAGTTTACATTTTATTTTTTATTTATTGACTTATTTATTGTTAAACTTGTTAATGTTTAGAGACAGAGCGTGAGCCGGGGAAGGGCAGAGAGGGAGGGAGACACAGAATCCAAAGCAGGCTCCAGGCTCTGAACTGTCAGCACAGAGCCTGACGCGGGTTCGAACCCACGAGCTGTGAGATCATGACTTGAACCAAAGTCATACACTTAATCGACTGAGCCACCCAGGCGCCCCTCAGTTTGCATTTTAAACCCCAAAATGAAATTCTTACAAATACTAAGATGGATGATGAGTACTCCTGTGAGAAGTTCCCAGGTCAGTAACTTCTCAGTCTGGTGAGTTCTCCCCAGATATATCTGTCTTGGGAAACTGCAGACCTTAAGTTTCACTTCCTCATCAGAGGACAGTGGCAAATCAGAACAGACACATCACAATCCTAAAAGAACCACTTTGCTTCACGGGGGGGGGGGGGGGGGGACAGATTTACCAGAGAATACCACACTTAAACAAAAGAAAATGACCATTTTTTAATGGCAGGGACAAAACAGCAAGATAGAGGAAAAACCCTTCCTCCAACAGAAAACAACTCAAAAAAATGCATTTCTAAAACTCCATGATACATGCTATAACATAGATGAACCTTGTCAACATTATGCTAAGTGAAGTTACAAAAGATCATGTATTGTGTGATTCCATTTACATGAAATGTTCAGAATCGGCAAATCTACAGACAAAACAGATTAGTAGTTGCCTACCGCTGATGGGGGTGGTTAATAGCTAAAGGGCATGAGGTTTCTTTTGGAGGTGATGAAAATGTTCTGAAAGTAATTATGATTCACAGACGATGATTCTGTGAACGTACTGAAAGCCACTGACTTGTACACTTTAAATGGGTGAACTGTAGGGTATATGAATTATATTTCAATAAAGCTGTTTGAAAAACATAATCCATGGCTCCACACTAGATCCACATGAGTCTAAAAACATGGAGTTCCTACTATAATACAAAAACTTTCTGAGAAAAATCTGAAAATGAAAGAAAGTTGTTGACGTCAGTAGTGGTTAGAGGCCCCAGCTAGATTTCTCTAGCAAAACACTCCCATCTCAGTTTGGGGAAGAATTTCACAGTCTTGTCTCAAGATCATCAATCTCACAGAAATCCCCATCTGGCTTTGGGTTCCTGTTCCAAAAACGCTGGAAAAACCAAAACAGGCAAAACACACTTTCAAAACAACACTTTTAATTTACGTGGGCAAGAGGAGAAACAGAGGATCATGGGATAGATGCTATGCTCTGTCAGAATACAAAGTTGAGAATTCACCATTGCTATGGAAACTCGAGTCCAAAAAGACTACACGTTTCCAAGGAAACCATTTTTCAAAAGTCCCTAAATAACATAACTCATAAAGAATGACCAAAAGAGCCCATGTGGATGGCTGAGGCCTAGTAGGTGGCCACACTGATTTCAGCTCTGCTGCTCCGCTTTAACCTTCATGAGTTCTCTTCTTCACCTGTTTAATTTCCCAGGCCAAGAGCAGAGGTTATCATGAGAAGCCCCATGAGGGCCCTGGCTGTACCCACAAGGGCCTGTGTTGGCATCATGGTCACAGCTGTCACCACGGAGAAAAAGACAGAAGCGGGAGGTGGAACAGGTACCTCTCTTACCCTAATGCAAAGCACACAAAACCCTAGGGCTTTGGGAAACTTAGAGAGAGAGAAATCTCTGCAGCTATTGGTCAACAGCTTCATCCTGCCCTGACAACCTGGATTCCCTCTAATCCCCAGGCAAATTAAAAGACCAAATGTTATTTAGCAATTAATAAGGAAACAGATGCTATTTGCTCCTGTTCCAAGGGGCCTGCTTCAATCCCTAAGAACAAAACAGTCATTTCCAATGCCAAGGGCAAAGGGCATTGGCAAGTGCCTAGAACAGTGCCTGGCACATAGTTAATATTCAATATGTTTATTGAATGCTTCTTGAATGGATGCTAATATTACCTCCCTTGGCACTCTGCCTTCTTCCCTCAGCCTGGAAACACACACACACACACACACGCACACACACGACGTTGAATCCAAGCCTGTTCACTGCAACTCCAGTTGTAACCTTGCAAAATTAATTAATAAACATGACAATTACTACTATGATATAGATTTCTGGAGAGCACGGATTTTTATTAAAGGATTTTGTTGTGACTAATATACCTTAAGAGCCTAAAACAATGCCTGGCACTAGTAGCTTCTAAATGAATATTTGTGTAATGACGAATGAATTAAGGGCCTACTATGTGCCAGGCAGCTGTGCTAGCTAGGCCTACTGCTGACGTCCCCTTCCCAATCACTTCTACCGAGCGGCAGAGGCTGCCTTGAGTCCTCCTACCGCCAGGGGCCGCTGTACAAAGAGCGCGGCTTCCTTTCCACGCCACCTTCTATCCCCGCGGTGCCCCTTGACCCCGTGAAGTTACTGCCCCGAGTTAAGATGGCGGCGTCGATGGCAGCTGCAGCTCGGCCACTGCGGCGGGCCTTTCGAAGGTCGCCTCTGTGGAGGGGCCTCAGCCGTCGGCCGTTCTCATCCGAGCCCCCTCCAGCCTCGGCCACGGCCGTTCGGGACGCCTTCCTGAGCTTCTTTCGGGACCGCCACGGCCACCGACTGGTGCCGTCCGCCTCCGTGCGGCCCCGCGGCGACCCCAGTTTGCTTTTCGTCAATGCGGGCATGAACCAGGTGGGGGCTGAGCCACCCTGAGCGGGGGCGGACTTTGTGATTTTTTTCCGGGGAGAAAGGCGCTGCGGGATTGGGCAAAAGAAGGGAGGGGCGGAGCTCTTGGCTTTGGAGGAAAGGGCCGTTTGTTGTTAGGCTAAGTCGTTGGGGGCACAAGTTAGGGCTTGGGGAGGGCCCGACCTCGGAGCTTGGGTTGGGATTTAGTTTTAGGTCCGAGAATGGAGAGTGTGGAGTTCTCTGGGGGCAGACTGGTGGGGGCAGTCTGGCTTCATTTATTCATGCTGTAAATAAAGGTAACTAATTCGTTAAATAAACGTTTGTTGAGCACATTTTATGTGCTAGACTGTATTCTCTAAGCTTTTGACTTTGAGCACCACTTACCCTCTCTAGATTTGTCTTCACCTGTAAAATGAGCAGGGAGGGGGGAATCGGTTAACCGTAGAGACTTTTTTTTTAAAGTTTATTTTTATTTTGAGAGAGATAGAGCAAGTGGGGAGGGGCAGAGAGAGAGGGAGACAGAATCCCAAGCAGGCTTGGGGCGCCTGGGTGGCTCAGTGGGTTAAGTGGCCGACTTCGGCTCAGGTCATGATCTCGCAGCCCCGCGTCGGGCTCTGTGCTGACAGCTCAGAGCCTGGAGCCTGCTTCACATTCTGTGTCTCCTTATCTCTCTGCCCCTTCCCTGCTCATGCTGTGTCTCTCTGTCTCAAAAATAAATAAACATTAAAAAAAAAAATTAAAAAAAAAAAAAAAAAAAAAAGAATCCCAAGCAGGCTCCATGCTGTCAGCGCAGAGACTGATGCAGGGCTTGAACTCACAAACCGTGAGATCATGACCTGAGCTAAAATCAAGAGTTAGAAGCTCAGCCGACTGAGCCACCCAAGCACCCCAAACGTAGAGGCTATTAAATGCTGAGTTTGTGAGGCATGCCCAGTGCCCTGTGGTCTTGGTTTTATACTGAAGTTATTGGGTGTGGTTTAAAGAAGCTGACATGAAGGATGAAGCCATTCAGTGCCCTATTTCCCGCCACCAACATAGTCCTCCTTCTTTTATGTTGCCTAATTTACTAGCAGAGTATCTCTGTTTCCTGATTTATTTACCTCTTGTCTGCTCCACACACATCAGAGATGGGTGCCTCCAGGCTTCCAGATTGCCCCTTAGCCAAGACCACACCGCACTCTCGGGGGCACAGTCAGCCTTCACTCTGAACACCCCACTCCCCACTTCTCCCGTCTACGGAGGGAGTGAGAACTGGGACCTTCGTGTGTTTCCAGTTCAAGCCAATCTTCCTGGGCACCGTGGATCCACGAAGCGAAATGGCAGGCTTCCGACGTGTGGCCAACAGCCAGAAATGTGTGAGGGCTGGAGGACGCCACAACGACCTGGAGGATGTGGGCCGAGACCTTTCCCATCACACCTTCTTTGAGATGCTTGGCAATTGGGCTTTTGGGGGTGAATATTTTAAGGTGAGTCTCCAGGAAGCCCTAGAGTTAGAAAAAAGGTCATTGGTCAACCAAGAAGGGGCTCAAGAGGAGTCCTGTCTCAACTCCTAAGCCCTGCTTGGACAGGGCTCATACTACACAGGAAGGCAAAGTGCTAGATGAACAAGTATGATGAGACTGTGTCTCACTTCCCTAATTGGATTGTAAGTGTGAGGGCCAGGACTGTGCCTCCTGCCTAATGGCTGGTTGGTAATTGTTGAATGAATAAATGGTCAGACAAATACTAAAATGCAGGAGTTAGAAATCATCCCAGGTTAGGGTGGAAAGACAACTTCATGGAGAGAGTGGGACTTGAAGGAAAGGATCTAAAGGAGGGGTGAAGTTCTCTGGACAGGAAAAAAACTCAAGCAGAAATGGTCATGGTTTGTTCTGGAAACAAGGAGGGCAGTGGAATTTTGTGTTAAGCTGAGGGCTGAACTCATGTGGCTTGATTGGTGCTTCAGCGGGGCCCTCTTCTCACCATTTTCCTCCTCCCATCCCATGTGGGTTTCCCCTGCAGGAGGAGGCTTGCCGCATGGCCTGGGAACTGCTGACTCAGGTCTACGGGATCCCTGAAGACAGGCTCTGGGTCTCCTACTTTGGTGGTGACCCCAAGGCAGGGCTGGACCCAGACCTGGAGAGCAGGGACATCTGGCTCAGCTTAGGGTAAGTCTGCCTCTGCCCCTTGTGTCCACTTCCAGAGGGCAAGAGGACTGGCAAATGGAGAGTACCAGCATCAGTCATCAGAGTCTTAGCATCTGCTCCCAGAACAGATTGGGGTCAGCCCTGTTTCTCCTCTTGCTGAGCTTGGTGGAGAGGCTCTCATGGCAGAGAGGGTTCTGGCTTCCAGGTTTGTCTGTCTCCCTACCACCTGCCTGGCTTTCTTGTCAGGGTGTGTGCCAGTCATGTGCTTTCCTTTGGACCACAAGAGAACTTCTGGGAAATGGGGAACACTGGCCCCTGTGGGCCCTGCACGGAGATCCACTATGACCTGGCTGGGAGAGGGGGAGCCCCCCAGCTGGTGGAGCTGTGGAATCTGGTCTTCATTCAACACAACAGGTAATGGGGTGCTGAAGCAGAAGGAAAATCCCTGGCCAGAAGTGGGCAAGGTGGCATTCAGGAGACTTTGATCCATTTCTTATAAAAAAAAAAAAAAAAAAAAAAACACCTAAATGGTGTTTACTGTGTGCCAGGTACATTTCTAAACACTTTTCAGGTAATAACTGATTTAACCCTAGTCTTTGCTCGTGACACTTTCAACTAGTCACTGCTGTCCGCTGGCTTTTGTTCTCTCATCACTGGATGGCACGGAGCCTGGTGGTCTCTAAGATTTTCTCCCAGCCTTGACATGTCTCTTTCTCAGGGCAAAGAATTCTGTCCCAGAAAGGGGATGTGTGGGTCCAGGCAAGGGCCCAAGCAGGGGTGAGGGTGGAGATCACCCTTTATGAGAAAGTACAGGACCCAAGGCCATCACTGTCTGCCTTTGTGGGAGAGGGGTGGATACCGCCTTCTGGTTCCTCCCACTGTCAGCCCCTCCTCGTTCCTCCGCTGCACTTGGGCATCTGCCTCACCCCAGTAATCCCATGTGGGGCCTCACCTTGCACACCTTCCCTGGCCAGAGAGGCAGATGGAAACCTGCAGCCCCTGCCCCAGCGGCACGTGGACACGGGAATGGGCCTGGAAAGGCTGGTGGCCGTGCTGCAAGGCACGCGCTCCACTTACGACACTGATCTCTTCTCCCCGCTGCTTGACGCCATTCAGCAGGTGAGCCGGCCTCTTCCCTTCCAGAAGCTGGCGCTTTGTTGAGAACTCCGAATACTCCTGCATGTGGAAACCTTGCCCAGCCAAGGATAGCAGGGTCAAACATGAGGCTGGGATTTGTATTTATTACCTGATACTGCTCCCAAATCCTTCCTTCCTTCGCATCTTCAAAAAATAGGTGTTTAGTGCCTACTTTGTGTGTAGTCCCTTGTGCTTAGTAGAAGAGATTACATTGTAGCCTAAGAGATAAATAAGTAAGTGTATTAAAGAACAAGACGGCAGATTTGAACCAGATTGCAGATTGTGACCAGGTAGTAAACATGGATGATAGTAACTGTGGTGGGGGTAGGGGGGCCGGTGGAGAGGAATCTTCGATGAAGTGTTTGGGGAAGGCTCACCAAGGAGGTGATCTCTGAGCTGGAACCTGAAAGAGGAGAGCCAGCCACAAGAAGCTCATTCCAGGCGGAGGGGATGGCAGGTACCAAGGCCCTGAGGCAGGAAAGGAACACAAAGGTGGCCTAGAGCTAGCCAGAGTAGAATCACCTGGGATGTAGCTGGAGAATGTGTGACTGCGCTTTTGTTGTGTAACAAAGCACCTAATACTTTGTAGTTTAAAATAACAATCATTCATTTAGCATATGAGTCTGTGAGCTAGCAATGCTGGCTGGGCTCTGTTGGGTCAACCTTTTGGTCTTCTGTGAGTTCTTTCATAACACCTATAGATAGCTGCTAGGCAGCTGTAGTTCGAGGACTGGCTGGCTGGCTGTTTGGGGCAACGGGGGTGACCAGGCTGTGTGTCTGTCAAGCAGCAGGCTAGCTTAGGGTTGTTCCCATCCCAAGGCAGCAAGTTCCAAGAAGGAGAACAGAAGCACACCAGGTCTCTTGAGGCTTAGGCTCAGGACAGTGTCCTTTCCACCTCATTCTGTTGGCCAAAGCAAGTCGCAAGGCTAGCCTAGGTTCAAGGGATAGAGAAATAGATTCTATCCTTGGATGGGAAGCAGCTGTGGTCTCGTAAAGTGGCAAGCACACTGAAGAGGGAAGGATTGTGGCCATTTTTGCAAACAATCTACCATAGAAAGGAAGGCAGAAGTCCAACCTTCTGGGCCCTTGAAGTCCAAAGTGGGGCTCCTATTATGCTAAGTGTAGTGAAAAGGGTTCTGCGTGGGGGAGGGGCATGATCTGATTGACACTTTTAAAGGCCCCTCTTGTTGCCGCGTGAAGGATGAGCTGGAGGGAGACCTAGAAGAAGCTAAGAAGCCAATTGGGAGGCTGTTTTGTAGTAAAGGGAGGAGACAGGAGGGCATGGTTGAGGCTGGTAGCTGTGGAAGTGGAGAAAAGTAATTGATTTGAAAGATCTCATAAAGGCAGGACAGGAGCAAAAGTCCCCAGTGACAGACTGGATGAGGAAGGGAAATAAAAATCAAGGCTCGCTCTCTAGTTTTTGACTTGAGCAGTGTGGTGAATGGCAGGACTGTTAATTGAGAGGAGGAAGCTCAGGGAAGAGACAGGTTTAGAGCTGGATGAATCAGCCATCTGCTTTGGAGCACTTACACATAGGCACAGCTTACGCCTCCCTCCCTGCCCCCCATAAAGGCTGGAGAAGTGGGTGTGGGCAGTGGAGTCAGGCCGGTGCACATCTCAGATCTGCTCCTGATGCGTTGTGTGGCCTCGTGCCACTTAGCTCCTCAGAGCCTCAGTTTCCTCTTTAAAGCGAGACTAGTAACACCTCCCAGAGCAGGATGTTTTGGATATTAGGCAACGCTTCTTTCAAGCACCCTCCCCATTCTGATGGTAGAAATTCAGTAAATGATCACAGCTGTGATTGTTGTGAGTGCTGAATGTGGCCCTGGGAGGGCAGGGACTGACTCCCTTTTATGTTTGAAGCTTCTCCAACCAGGTCATTCCAGATGTGATCAGCTTTAGGGGTGAGGGCAGATGCTCTAGAGATGATGAAGGGCACCCCACCCAGACCATATCAGGCAGGACCAGCAGCCATGTCTCCTTGTCTCTCGCTCTCCAGGGTTGCGGGGTGCCCCCTTACTTGGGTCGGGTAGGAGCAGCAGACGAGGGGCGCACAGACATGGCATACCGCGTGGTGGCTGATCACATCCGCACACTCAGCGTCTGCATCGCCGACGGTGTCTGCCCCGGAATGTCGGGTGCCCCGTGAGTCTGGCAGGGGCTGCGAGGGCGGGGGGTGGGGGGTGTTGCAGGGGAGAGGTGGGTCAGGAGGAGTGGGGGAAGGGAGAGGGCTCTGAGATGAGAGCACCCACTCTGAACCTCGTCCTCCCCACTCTCCATACTGCTGACCAAGGGTTGCAGGCGATTCTTATCTGGCTTCTGAACCCCTCTAGGTTGGTGCTTCGTCGGATCCTTCGTCGAGCTGTGCGGTTCTCTACAGAGGTGTTGCGGGCACCACCTGGCTTCCTAGGCAGCCTGGTGCCTGTAGTGGTGGAGACCCTGGTGAGGGCAGAACTTATTCTTCTGGGCTTCCCCAGGTGCTCAGGAAGCTTGCCACTGAGCCTAGACGGTGCCCTCAGCCTAGGCTCCCCACCCTAAATGGCCAGCCCCAGGTCTTGTCAGGCTGAGAAAGCCAAGACTGAATCCAAAAAGCAGGGAGCCCTCAGGAGGCCTCCCTGTCCTGGCTTCTGAGCCTCTTGAGTTTGGGACCCCCTTCTGTCCGTATTCCCTGTTTGAGTCTGCCATCCATCAGCCGGAGCTGAGCTTCCAAGGCAGGCATCCTCAGGGAGGTCCGGGGGGGGGGGGGGGGGGGGGGGGGAGGTTGCCTTTCACACCTTCTCAGCCCTCTGCCTCCCCCAGGGAGATGCTTATCCAGAACTGCGGAAGCACTCAGCCCAGGTACTGGCTTTGGATGGGGAGGGAGGGGCTCTCCCTTCCAGGAGGCCCAGCTCCAGTCCCGCCCTGCCCCCCTGTTCAGATAGTCAACCTGGTGTCAGAGGACGAGGCAGCCTTCCTGGCCTCCCTGCAGCGGGGTCGGCACATCATCGATCAGACCCTGAGGCGCCTGGGGCCTTCTGATTTGTTCCCTGGTGAGTGAGCAGCCTGGCCAAGGTGAGGGGCTCACTCAGGTGAACCAAGGCAGGAAGAGGACAGACCTCTGAGGCAGGCGTGTGCCTAGCATGCAGACCCTCCTTCCCATGTCCCTCTCCCTGCACTGTCTCCAACACCCACATCTCTCTGTGGCGGGACACCACCCTCCTTCTCCCCACTTCCCCTCTGTCCAGCTGGCCCTGCCACCAGTCTCTGCTTCCCAAGGCAGGCTTCATCCCTAGAATGAGCCTCCCTTCTCCTCTGAGATGACAGATGACAAGGGAGTCTCCTGGGCTACCCTCGGCTCTGGCCTTTGAGCCTAAAGCCTGACCCCTCTCCTGGACCTACCGGGTGTAGGGAGAGGACACTTGTGCTTGGTACCTGGTGGCTGCTGTGTGGTTGGAAAAGCCCTGGCCCTTATTTCTCCCTCACTTCTTCCCCTTCAGTCTATCCTGCCCTCCCCTCTGAACACCCTTTGTCTTCCTTCTTCAAAGCTGAAGTGGCCTGGTCCTTATCGCTGTCTGGGAACCTGGGGCTCCCCCTGGACCTGGTAGAGCTGATGCTGGAGGAGAAGGGGGTGCGGCTGGACTCTGCTGGGCTGGCGCGGCTGGCCCAGGAGGAGGCCCAGGTACACGCTGGGGCACCCCTGCCCAGGCTTCTGTTGGGACAGTCCCTTCCCCAGCCCTGAGTTCCTGTGGGAGGAGCTGCAGCTATTGAGGGAAACAGGAGACAGGGTCTGTCCCCTCACCTCAGGCCCCACCCACAGCCTGTAGCGGAGAACTCTAATACAGTGGACTGAACAGAACCAGGAATGGGGAGAGGCCAGCACAGCATCCTAGAGAGGGGAGCGGTGGGTGAAGGGGGCCTCATCCTGAGACCCTGCATGATGGGTGGTTCACCAGCCAGCCCAGGGTCTCTAGCAGCCAGCCAAGCCCGGAGGGCTTATTCCAGAGGGGCTGCAGAGTCCACACAGCTGTGTGGCAGGGGCAGGGCTCTGTGGAGGCTCAGGTCCCACTGCACTGTCCGTGTACCCCTTCCCTATGCATGCGCCCATCCTGCAGCACCGGTCACGGCAGGCCGAGCCAGCTCAGGAGCGGGGACTGCAGCTGAATGTCCACGCACTGGGGGAGCTGCAGCGCCGAGGGGTGCCCCCAACTGACGACAGTCCCAAGTACAACTACTCTCTTCGACCCAGCGGGGGTTATGGTGAGAGGCTGGACTGAGGCTGGTGGCCACAAGCGTCCCTGGCGGTTTCTGGGAGGGACAGAGGGACATCTGTGAGGGTTGCTACCAGCCCTATACATTTCATGGGGGGCGGGGGTGGGGGGGTGGGGAGGGCGGCGAGGGGGTTATAGCCACCAGGGGTCGCTGTGGCCCCTGAAAGTGCCCCTCCACCAGCTACATGCCCATTGGCTTCAAGTAAGGTACACACCAACGGCCCAGGGCCCACACCCCTGCCCAGCACTGATAACCATTCTTCTTTCTGGCAGAGTTTGGCACCTGCGAGGCGCAGGTGCTCCAGCTATATACAGAGGACGGGACAGCTGTGGCCTCTGTGGGGAAAGGCCAGCGTTGTGGCCTTCTCTTGGACAAAACCAACTTCTACGCTGAACAGGGGGGTCAGGCTTCAGACCGAGGCTACCTGGTGCGGGTGGGGCAGGAGGTGAGCCCCCATGCACAGACACACACACACACACACACACACACACACACAC